GACTTCAGTAATTACTGTCAAAAATTGGGCAAATGGTCAATGATCCCTTACATCCAGACATTTCTCATACTCCGAAACATTCCTTCTCTGTGTTCATCTTGTGAACCCTCTCCGATTCTCCTGGCTCTGGTAACACCACTTTCCCCGGTCCATCTGGATCTCCATTGCCTTCTTTCCACTCAGCAGCAACCCCCCTCCACAGCTCCTCCTTCCTCAACCTCACTCCTACCCAAAGAATTCCGACCTGCAGAATTCCACCCCATTCCCCCTCTCATCACCACCCCCCATCAGCCCTCCCCTGCACAAGGCTGGGGAAAAAATGGCGGAACCAGGAAAGACAAGAAATACAGTGAAACTCTAAAAACTCCTCCAAGGCCCTCAGACCCCTCAGGGAGATCTCGCTGATCTGGCCTTCAAGGTAGGGCAGCACCACTCAGAGTACCAGTTATTGGCTTTTGCAGTTTGACAAAACCCAGCTACTTCTTGAAACTCTGCGGGGCACTCCAAAAAAACAAAATCTCATCCAGGACCATGTTTTAAGTGCAGCGAATCAGGCTTTTGAGCACAGCAGTGCCCAAATCCAAATGCTCCCCCAAACAAAGTGTCCAGACTGCGAAGGTCCTCACTGGAATACTGACTGCTCAGGTCTTCCTGAAGATCTGGTTTCACAGTCACTCCCAAGACCTGGAAAAAATCCTGACCTCCTGACCCTAGCTGCAAAAGACTGACCATCCCTGGAAAATCAGGATGCCCCCCAGATGCCATCCTGGAAAACTAAATTGTGGATATTTTTGCTAGTGGAAGGTAAGCCAATTTCTTTTCTCTTTTCTAATAAACACAGAAACAACTTCTTCCACTCTGTCACCTTATAAAGGCCTTCTAAAACAAACAGAGATCTCTGTGATGGGAATTAATGATAATTTACTACCCTCAGGCTACTCCATCCTTGTAGTGCTAGAATCATGGCCTCCTTGGTTATTTCCTATGTTAAGGCCACTAATTATGATTTTTTTTCATTCTCATTTTCAGACCAGTAATCCTCTGTCTCATCTCTTGATTCATTGACCAGGCAGTCACCCAGGACAAATGCTCATATCGTTGCCCTGCATAGATATCAACCAGTTCAAACTAAAGACCCAAAGGTGTTCATGTAAACATCACTCCTGTACCCCATTCCCTTCCCCCTCCCCATTTTCCTTTCCCTTACAGGGAGCTCATGCTGCCCCTCATCCCACAGGAAGCAGTCAAAGAGACACCATGCTGATCACCCCACCTTTTTATAATCAGCTAAAAAGTCGGGGATGATAGAGTCAAATGAAGGAACCCCAGCTAAATAGAGCAGACCGGCTTGGAGCCTGTTGCTCCGTGGTCAGGGTACTGGCCACATGCACTGGGACTGGTGAGTTCAAACCCAGCCTGGGCCTGCTAAACAATGACAACAACAACAAAAAGCTGGGCATTGTGGCAGGCACCTGTAATCCCAGTTACATGGGAGGCTGAGACAAGAGAATTGCTTAAGCCCAAGAGTTGGAGGTTGCTACGAGCTGTGACACCATGGCACTCTACCAAGGGAGACATAATGAGACTCTGCTCAAAAAAAATACCACAACAAATAAATAGGACAGACCTACCCAAATGGATAAACACCTCACCCTTCCAACAGATGTCCCACCCTGGAAAGGGGATGTGCCAACTCCTCACCCTTCCAACCTTTAAAACCCCCATTCACCTTTACCCATGTGCTGACTTCTTTCTCAAACTCAGCCCACCCTCACCAGAGGGGAAATAAAGGTTGCTATTGCCTACACAGAACCTGGATTCCATTTTCCTTTTGTTTCACATCTTGAAATAATTTTTATTTTCCGTCTTTGACCTCTCAGTAATGATGTGTCAACATAGTTTTATCAACTGTAACAAAAGTACTGTTTGGTGAGAGATATTGATAATAGGAGAGGCTAGGCATGTGTGAGAGCAAGAGATACATGGGAAATTTCTGTACCTTACTCTCAAAATTTTGCTGTGAACCAAAACTGCTCGAAGAAAAGTCTTTAAAAAGTTAGGGGGAAAGGGCCAGGAGTGATACACAATCCTACCACTCTGGGAGGCCGAGGTGGGTTGATTACCTGAGCTCATGGGTTCAAGACCAGTCTGAGCAAGAGCAAGACCCCATCTCTAAAAGTAGCTGGGCATTATGGCAGGTGCCTATAGTCCCAACTACTTGGGAGGCTAAGGCAAGAGAATTGCTTGAGCCCAAGAGTTTGAGGTAAGCTACGACATCACAGCACTCTACCAAGGGTGACAAAGTGAGACCCTGTTTCAAAACAAACAAAAAAAAATATGAATGGTTTGCTCATGTGGTCCCAGCTACTCTGGAGGGTGAGATGGGAGGATCCTTTGAGCCCATGACTTCAAAACCAGCCTAGGCAACATAGCAAGACCTCATCTATTAAAAAAGAATAAAATATAGGGTAAAATGCTAAAGCATTCACACTTTAGGGCCAGTGAGAAAGAAACATACTAGGGATGAGAGTTTTGCGCAAGCTAAGGAAATCTAGGGTTGTTAAGTATTGAGAAGACTACAAGAAAGACAATGGAGAACTGAGTGAATCTGAAAAAAGGTATGAGAATTTTGAAAAGAGAATTTATTAAAAGGGGCAGAACTAGGAGTTAGGCTAAATTCATCATAAAATATCTTTTTAACTTGCAAAGAAACAGATTCTTATACATGTGCTATCAAAAGCTGAATATCGGCTCGGCACCTGTGGCTCGAGCAGCTAAGGCTCCAGCCACATACACCTAAAGTGGCGGGTTCGAATCCAGCCCAGGCCCGCCAAACAACAATGATGGCTGCAACCAAAA